ATTTTTCTGCACCATGTATCTGATCCAGTGTTACCTGAATTAAGCCCCAGCTAGCTTGCAGTCATCCAGATCTTTTATCTCAGCCAATTCATTTGGAAGCAAGTGTTCTGCATCAATGTGAAGAGGAAAGCTTTCACCACTGTATATATCGGTGCATTCTGAATGGGAGACCTGACAGAGTAGGATGCTGGATTGGTACAAAAGAGGTGTTGGCTTACATGGATGACCTAATTCTACCAGCTAATACTTTGCTGAAAATAAAGAACAATATTGCCTTAGCTTTCATTATGGGCATTGTCATGAAAATATTGGAACAATACTGAAGGCTGCTGATAAATCTTAGAATATCAACACATCACAGTCTACAGCCAGAAGGTGTTCTGGACAAAACATGGTAGATAAGATGGACTGACAACTTCATATATTTGAGATTTCACGGGTTTACATTCAGTAACTATATACAGAACAAAAGTTAAGAGCTGATGCTATGGATGAGAGCTTAACTGTTGCTTTTCTGAGAAATGCTGACTCTCTTTTCCATTAGGAACCCATAATTGTCTGTCTCTGCAGTTGGTATAATACATCCATGCTTAACTTTGCAACTGTAAAGCGTACCCAGTTATGTCCCATTTCCAAGAGGCAATATGAAGTTCCTGCAGTACATCATCTGTCATAAAGAAGCTGCCTGAAGTGCAACTAGAATGTGTTTTGGGCAACTGTGTATCTGTCTGTCCTCACTGATTTTTATCATTCTAGACCAAATGAGAACTTTCTCTCCTGTGAAGAGTTAATCTGGTAGGAAGTACTAGCTTATTATTACAAGTAATGCATCCCTGAGTATTATACTAAGACTCATTATCCCCAGGACTCATTTTTATTCTCTCCTCTGACCAGTTTAGCAAGGAATTTCATGTAAGTTTTATTGCTTTTCATAATCCTTGAAAAACTGCTACCTCCCATCATGCAGTTTTGTGAAAATAAGTTCAAGTTAGTGTTGAATTTGATAATTTCCGCATTGAGCTCACATTAATTGCAGTTACAGATACCTACTGCTAACTCTCAGGAGTCAGTCATCTTGGTAATACCTGCTAAGCAGTTGGAGAATCTAAAATTCCAAAAACTGATACACTGTTCCATTAAATAGCCACTTGTGTTTTCAGAAGGGCAGTTATCAGAACTACTCTTCATAGCTCTGCAGCAAGTTATCTACATGAGCATAACTTTTTTTTTTCCTTCAGATCTCTAATCTGTTTATACAGAATTAAAAGAACATATTTTCCAAAAAAGTGCACACTAGAAGTTGAATAGCTGTTAATAGATACTTCTTAGTATTGGTATTGCTGCCACTTAACTTTTTTTTTCTGGACACCTGTAAATGTGGTATATGATCAGAGATTGCTAGGGGGGAATTCTGAAATGGAATTTTTCTTCCCATCCATATATACAAAATCAAGGCTGTTCATAAGTAAAAAGCTAGTTAATAACCTGTAGTTCTTTGAAGTTCTTGAAATCTTTTATCTTCTGACACTTGAGTTATTGTAATACCCAAAAGGACTTCCCTTCTGTAGAGCAAGGACAAATATAATCTAATAGGAAAGTTATCGTAACATATTTTTACCTTTTTTTTTTTTAACAAGAGTTTTTCTAATCACTTGCCTTAATTATTTTATAACAATGACTGATACACAATAGTTGTCCAAATTGCATCATCTTGTTGGGCACAAGTGGAAGCCAATAGAAGAAATGCTTGCTTAGACTAAACAGTTGAATTTCTCTGTCTTTCATAGAAAAGAAAAAAACTTAGGCTGTTCAGGGAGACATTTATGTTTTCTGTTATATGAAAACATTGTGTTCTCTGTGTCTGAATAGTTTTCATATGCAGCATAGTCATAATCCTGTCTTTGGTGCCTAATGTTTTCCCTTACCTGTTTTGTGCAGAAGCAGGGGAGGGGATGGGAGGTTGCACTTAAACTCCTTGTTGATGTAGGTCAGATAATACCTCTGTAAACCATGAATTCTTTGGATAGAGCAAGGTATTAAAAGCTTTGCAAAATAGGCTAATGCTTTCAGCTGGGATTCATATGTGATTTTAAGATTCATTTCCGTCTCTGATCTGAAGCCTGTTCTGAGGTCTTAACAGGTGTTCTCCTAAAATATGGATTGTTTGCTGTGACAAGGAAACAAGCTGTTTGGGCATCAGTATTTATTTTTGGTATATTTTTCTTCTGTTTAATGGTGAAGGTTCTGTTTCTTCTGTCTGTGGCTGTAGTATGTTGTGTAGTGAATGATGGGCTGTCTTTGAAATTTGCAATGGCAAAGTAAAATAATACTGGATGCTAATTAGAAAAGTCAATTACAGCAGTCCAAAGACAACCAGTATTGCTCTCCTGGATTTTGTGGCTAGAGCTTTTCATTTTCTGGACAGTAGCCTGATAGAATTTCATAACGCATTTGAGGAGTATTCATACCATTTAACTGATTTACCTGAAGTGTCATAACTCAGAAGCCTAGACTTCCTTTAGTGAAGTCTTTATAGTATGCATTTTATTTCATATATTTTTTTTTCAAATTAGTGTGACTCTGAAATAATACTTGCATCACTTTTAATAGTTTAAGTAGGTCTCAGATTAGTTAAAGGGCATAAAAATATGTGTTCGTTCTGGGATTATTTCCTGTCAGACTAATACCAGATTACCAGTCAGTTGCTGATTGCAGCTCCAGCAGCCATATGAGAAATGGTGAAATATGTAGTTAAGGACTAGTCTGCTCTTTAGCAGGGTTCCTTTTCATACCAGATGGTTAGTAAGTTATTTGTATCTTTCTGTTAAAAACAAAAAAAAATCCAAACCAAACAAACAAAAAACCCAAACAGCACATGATGAGCTGGAGGATGAGGACTGTTCTCTGAGCATGCTTTCACCTAGCAGGAAGGTTGGTTATTTGAATCTTCCCTCTGAGCTAAATTCAGCAAGTAATCAGCTTAGTCTATGGCACTTAGTTTCAAAACTTCTCTTGTTTGTGATTTGAATAAATTTTATATGAAGTCAGGATAAACCTGAAGCCAAAGAAATTTTTTTACAAACACTTCCTAAGTAAATTTTAAATAATTCTTCACATGTAGCTTATAAAACATCATCTGAAAACTTACACGGTTCTACAAGTTCTTGACAGTATAAACTCGATACTTTAGAGCTTTGTAAATGTGAAATGTTAGAAATTTCTTACGTATTTCTAGATACATCCTTTATTGTACTTGGGAGACAGTGTTTCCTCCAAAATTTCAATTTGTTCTTAAGTATTTTGATGAAGTAGTCTCATGACACAATTATAAGAAGCTCAGGCAGATACTAGATAAGTTGATTTTTCTGAGATTTGTTTTGAAGTATTTGATATTAAAATGTGTCTTTGCTATTCTGACTTAAAGCCAAGAAAGAAGAAAAGAAAAGACACAAGTCGTCTTCCTCATCCAGTGACTCGGAAAGTTCAAGTGATTCAGAGTCATCTTCTGATTCATCGTCAGATTCTGAGAGTGCTTCAGAAGATAAATCTAAAAAACGAAAAAAGAAACACAAGAAAAATTCCAAGAAACACAAGAAAGAAAAGAAAAAGAGAAAGAAAAGCAAGAAAAGGTCAATTTTGAGATTCTGTTTTGTTACATGTACACCATACAGTACCATTTTCTTGTCCTATAACCACAGAATAGTATTCTGTAACTAGTGAAGTAGGTATTTTGAAGTTTGGGAGTCAGTTGGTTTCCATATACAAGCTTAAATTTTTCTAGTATGATGGCAAAGGACAGTGTCTGTGTGTATACGTGCTGCAGCTTGTAAAGGAGTGAAGGAATGGACTAAGACTTACGTATATGTGGCTTGAAAAGTTGCAGAAGTGCTTGGTTTGAAATGGGTAGTGATAGCTTGTTTCCCTAAAATCACTTCTGTACAATTCAATTTAAATTATATGCAGTGGGACTTACGAGAATGTAGTATGCAGGAATAAAAGCAAAACTAAACAAAAAATAAAGAAATGAACGTACTTAGCAACGTTATTTCTGTCTGATATGCCGAAAGTCTTGCAGTTTCACTGGAAGATAATAAAACTCAAAAGGTGCTCTTGCTTCCGAAACTGTTATTTCTAATCTAACAGTTTTGCTTATAGTTCAATGTGAGATACAAGTTGTGTCAGTGCAACTTAGGGCAGTGCTGCCTAAACATTGTTTCTGTGGGACTAAGCCCATTTCACACAAGTTTGTTTATACCAGCTTCTTGGAATTACAATAGTTTATAGCCAGTTCTATATGCTGGTGTAAGACCTGAATTTGACCCTCCTGATGGTGTTTTTAAAAGAAAATAACTTTTTTTAAAAAAGCTGGATCTAAATAGAGAGTAAATGTATGTTCAGTGTTGCCCCATTGGAAATCATAGATAAAAATGTTGGTCAGAAATCTGCAGTTGTACATTTTGGAGCAAAGGTATCATAGGGGGGAAAAAACATTGCTTCTGAAATAGCTCTGTTTCCTGAGTTTCTTGTGGTATCATTATGTATTGAAATAAGGGAACTTCTGAATTACTTAAATAGATTGAAATGTCTTTCCTCATCCAAATAACTCGCTTTAAGTATAAATATTTTTTTGTACAAAAATAAAGCTCATCCAGTGAAAGTGAAGATGAAAACCCTGAAGCACAGCCATTATCTACTGTCCGTCCTGAAGAAATTCCTCCTGTACCTGAAAACCGGTTCCTGATGAGGAAAAGTCCTCCTAAAGTAGATGAGAAAGAAAAAGAGAGGAAGAGCAGAGAGAAGGAAAGAGAAAGGTGATATATCTGTTCTGAGTCTGACTATGCGCTGACAGTGATATGGTCACGTTACTGTTTTAGGACTCTAGTGTTAAGTGAGTCCTTTCCCGATTAAACAGTTCCATGTTTTGAGCACTGCTGGGTTCAAAATGGATTTTTCAGTTTATTGGCAACTGTTGTCTTTGTCCTAGAACAAAGGCTTAGTCTTTGAAAATGGTTTTAGTGAATGAAAAATGTAAAATGACTCGATTCAAGAAAAAGTAAAATGCATTGCAATTTCATTTAGAATTTATTGGAACTGTCCACTCTGAACCTATAATTTATTCTTCTTTCAAAAATGGGAAACCCTGGAAATCTTGTAAAATATTTTGTGGTCACAAAATCTGAAGTTTTTACTATGTGGTTGTTACTGTCTGCACTGATAATAAAAAATAAAATTAAATGTATGTTTTCATTTAGTTAAATTTCTGAAGAGGTTTTAAGATTGGTTTTATTTTCTCTTTCCTTCTTTCTTTGATGTTATAAACAATACCGCTTTTTTAAAATTATTTTTAGTAATCTATCGAATTCACAGTCAACATACCAGAGGAGGCTGTTAGTGACAAGATCTGGAAGGAAAATAAAAGGAAGAGGACCAAGGGTAAATGTTTACAATCTGTTTCCCAACATAAATAAGGTGGTAGCACCGTCATGCTGCTGGTGTTACTAACCAGCTTTATTAGGTTGGTTGATGGCAGGATTTATGGTGCATCATAATTGATGTGGGGACTGAGCCTTGAAGGAAGATAAGGAAAATTAAATTAATTTCCTGTTGGCATACTGAGTTTGTTTGAAAGGAGGGGGGGGGAACAGAACCCACTTTCCTTGTGTTACTGTAGTATTCTGTGAATTAGAGAATGGAATTAGCTCAAAAAGAGTTCTAGTGAACACCAGAACCAGTACGACATAAGTGCCGGGAATGTGAGGAAGACTTCTCCCCGTTTTGGCAGGGGGGAGCTGGTTCTGATTTTGTGAAGCCATATGCTGTGCACTGCTTGTAGCAAATGTTTTTAGTAACAGAAGTCTCTATCTCTCAAATTTTTAGTAAAAACCTTAAATAAAAAGTGTGAAGTATTGTTTTCGTGTTGCTTGTCAAAGCTAAGAAGAATTTTCATTGTTAGAAAAGTGAGTTGCATTTGTGCTAGTTAAAAGCAACAGGAGAAGACCTCTCAGCAGAGTACAAAAATCCTGAAATAGAAGTTACCTTAAAAATAGTTATTTGATCAGACTTTCTGTATTCCTGCTTTAGCTGAACGTCAAATATATTTTAAAGTTAATAACTTGTCAATGTAAACTTGGTATATACATGTGAAGTGTCATGTTAGGTGCTATGCAGAATCGACTGCCGGGGTAAAAATCTTGCTTAGCTATCCCAGCATGTGAAATTTAAACTTACACCCAATTTTCTCTTTTTCCCTTCAAGCGTTATCGGACACCTTCCAGATCCAGGTCAAGAGATCGATTCCGACGCAGTGAAACTCCTCCACATTGGAGGCAAGAAATGCAAAGAGCTCAAAGAATGAGAGTGTCTAGTGGAGAAAGATGGATAAAAGGGGACAAGTAAGATTATTTCTTTCTGGAGTATATGCATTGAAATTTTTTTATGTATTAAAAGTAATACCTGTCATCGTAGATTTTCAATTACAGTTACTTCCCAAAAAACAGGGCACTGATTTGGTTATCCCATTACTTAACTGTGTCAGATTTTAATCATGCTACTGTAAATATATAGTTATTAATATAGATGACCTAATGTGATTTAAGTTTCAGTTGTGAAGCTGTCTCACTTCTGACTTAATTTTTCTGAGTGGAGGGGATCCAAAATATTTAAAAACTTCTTTCTTTCTCTCTCCAAGGAGTGAAATAAATGAAAACAAGAAAGATAATCAAAAAAGCCCAGGACGAGGAAAAGAGAGAAAAATATCAGACCACAGACAAGTTTCTGAAAGTCCAAGCAGAAGAGGGGAAAAAGAGAAGAAAAAAGATCACAAATCCAGCAGTAAAGACAGGGAGACAAGAAGGAATTCAGAAAAAGATGACAAACATAACAAAAGCAAGGCCAAGAAAAGAGCTAAATCTAGAAGCCATAGTAAAAGCCGAGAGAAATCAAAAAGTAAAGAAAGAGACTCTAAGCACAGTAGGCATGATGAAAAGAGAATAAGATCAAGAAGCAAAGAGAGAGACCATGAGAAAGGTAGAGAAAAAGAAAAGCGCTATGATTCTAGAGGGAGAGATAAAGAAAGAAGTAGGAGCAAGGAGAGGAGTAAAAGGGCAGGCTCACGAAGCAATGAACAAGACCATAGGAAGAGTAGAGACAGGGAGAAACGTAAGTCAAGAAGCAAAGAGCGTGAGCATGCTAGAGGAAAACATAGTTCCAGCAGTAGAACAAGGGATCGAAGCAAAAGCCGAGATAGGGGTAGGAGAGGAAGATCGAGAAGCAGAGACAGAGATCGCAGTAGAAGTAAAGACTATTCAAGGAATAGAGATAGAGAAACAAGAAGAAGAGGAAGATCAAGAAGCAGAGAAAGGAGAAGTACACCAGATAAATACAGGGGGAGAGAAAATAGGAGGAGGAGAGAATCAAGGAGCTCAGAGAGGGAGGAAAGTCAAAGCAGAAACAGAGAGAGGTATTCAAATAGAGAAAGTAGAAGCTCATATAAGAGGAATGATACTGAAAGCCAAAGGAAGAGGCGTTCAAAAAGCCGTGAAAGTAGCAGTCCTGAATCCAGTAAAGATAAGAAGTCTAGCAGAGATCAGGATAGAAGTCCAGACTCAAAAAGGAGACCAAGTAGCAAAGAGAGAGAATCAAAAAAATCATACTCACGCAGCAGTAAAGAAAAGGAAAAGACCAGATCCTCAGCAGAAAAAGAAATAAACCAAAAATCAAAGAGTCAGGAAAGAGATCATGCCCCTAGTAAGGATAAAAAGTCTGATCATGAAACAAGTCCTGGAACAGATGACGACAGGCACGGATGAGTTTGTGGACTTCATGTTTCCATTGTCTCAAACTTTTAGAGACATTTTGGGGAACGCCTTTTTTTAAGATGTGGACTTCAGTTTGGTCTTTTGATAATCTAAAACCTGGATCATTTGTACTGCTAAAGTTTTAATAAACTTGAAATGAAAAACAAATTATATGTGTAATACAGTGTGCTGTGTTTTAAATATTTCATTGGTTTATGTATCTTTCTTGTGTGTTGGCAGCTAGAAAGGTAACCTCTATGCCACATTTATTTTTTACCTGATGAACTTAGTTTAGTGCAAACAAAGGCTGCCTGTGAAGAAGCTTGCTTCATGTGTGAAGAAGAAAGCTGCAAGTATACTACGTGTCACCTTAAAGCTAGGAGAATGTTGCAAGGTGTCCATCACTCCAGTGTTGCTACATCTGTATTTCAGTAGGTATAAATCCTAAGGAAATTAATTTATAGAGGAAAATCATGTCATTTTTTTTGTAGTCACAAAGTGAATTAATTAAAGTAAATTGTCACTGTTTGTATTTCTGTCACTGCCAACAGTAGAATTCATACATGCTATAAGGCAGTCACCTGTGTTTGGGAGTTATTTCTTTGTCCTAAAATAATTTTTTTGAAGTGCTCATCAGTGTAATTTTTTCCCTGTAACTTCCTTTTTCTGTTCCATGCTTTCATGTTTGTCTACTGCAGAAAACTCAAGCTTGGATGCTTCAGACCTGCCCTGCCTCAGTTGCTAATTAATGGATGCACAGAGATGAAACAGATTACTAGAATTCACAGTGGGTGTCAGATTAAGGAACCAGGAAATCCGTTCTACTCTTGCTGCTTCTTAGCAGTCTATGACAAAACTGTTGCAGTTCTCCAATACTGGTTTTGGGGGTAGTTGAAGCAGAATTCCAAGTAACGTTTTAAAACAGGCTCTTAATTTTTTTAAAACAAAAACTTGCTTTCCTCCCTGCATCCCCTCATTCTAAAGACTGTACTGTGAATTCCTTCTCATTCTCTACTACGTGTGTCTTCCTCAAAGCAATTCCCTCCCTTTCCTGCTTTCCTCTCCTGCCTCTAGGACCCACCCCTGTTTCTTTCTCGCCACCACACCTTCATAGGAAAGAGGAGGAGGTTGGCTTGTGTTGCTGCAGGAGTGCCCGCGTATGTGCGATCACCAAAGAGCAGCCAGTACGCGGTAACTTAACGTAGTGGGCTGAGAGGAGGATAGATTTGGTACAAACCCCAACGCTTCTTTCAGTCCTTTGACCTATTCACACCAAAGGCTGGCAAATCTTGAAATTCCTCAAGACACATGAAAAGCATTAATGTAAAGCTGTGTCAAAGCGAAACAATGTTTTAATAGTTGATTTTTTGGTAGATCTTTGAGTGTATGACGTAACTTGTTCTTACTGTCTTGGGTATAAGTTTGTCAACATTTTTGCTATATAACCTGCTTTGATCAGTGTGTGTCTACAGCAGATTAGCAGACTTGCTGAAGCTTGGCTTGATACTGTGATCCAGACAGTTGTTATTCTAAAGGAAAACAAATAGTTATGTCTTGAAAGCAGAAGAAAATACAGGATTGTGAACAACATAAGCAACCTTCTTAAGGGAAGAAAATTGGAAGTGTGTAGTGTTACTTTTTAGCAGAATAGTTAGTGGAGCTGCTGTGGAGCTGCTTTGTCCATCAACTTCTTTCTCCCATGTTTTAACACAAATTTTGCATTGCAGTGGTTATTTTAGGAGAATGTGTAAAAATGTTTCCCAAGCCCACATGCGAGTGGATGATACAGCTGTTACTTAAGAGAGCTTATAGGAGTGAACCGAAGGCCTGTATAGTGGACCTGTTCTGTGTGAAGACACTCTATGACTTTGGAGAAGTTGTAGTCCTATTTTGGGGGACTGTAGTAAGGAAAAACTAGGAAGTTTGGCTTAAGAGAATCGTATGGCAGCTTGGACAAAGGCTTCCTGGGTGCATTTATACTGTGCTATTCATGCCATGTGCTTCAGAGTCTCACTTGAAAACTGTCTGTTTGTAATGTTCTGTCATTATTTTTTGTGGAGCTGAAACACAAGCAAACTATTGCTGAAAAAGTATGCTTGCGCTACTGAGAATATTCTTGCCAGTACCACTGAAGCTCACATAAGCACACGAACAAAAAAAACCCCCTCAACTATATGCACTGTGTAGAAGAGGGGAAGAGAATGCAAGCAGTCAGCAATAAGGCAATCCATAGGAATTGTTAAAAAATGTTACCAAGTCTTTAATTTAAAATATCAAAATGGAGATTCTATCCAATTGTAGTTTGCAGTTGTGTGTAACTAGTTATTTCAAAAGATGCACTTGCATACCCTTTCATATGGATTTTTTTCTTTGTTACAGTTCAGAAAATTATTTGTGCAAATTAAACGAGCTGTAATTCTTTCATAGCACGTTTAAGTGTCATCTGAGTTGGTGGCACAAAGCTCATTTTCTTGTTTTTAATGTACTTTGTAAGAAGTTGGTTACTTTTAATTGCACATGGTGGGATACATTTATCTCTTGATGAGTGCATGCCTTGCCTGTATGGTATTTGATGGTAAATTGTTTAGTGCCAGTCACTTTGTTTACACAGAAACACAACAATTGCAGTCTTGTAAGAGGGAACATTTGCCAGATTTGTGCTTTTCTTTATCAAACTGGAAACTGAGAATGCTGATAAAAATTCAGTGGGACTGAAGCACGGTCCTGTGGACAGCAAGATGTCCCCAAGCACCGGTGAGCTGTTGCTGCCTGGTGCGGCGCCGACTACTGCTCTTGCTGTCCTGGAATGGTTTCTTCCGTCAATGGCAGAGCTTTCCTGTTCCCAGCCTCACAGCAACCGCCTTGCGCTGTAGTCACAGTGTAGCTCAATGCCATCTTTGGCAGTTGTGTCACAGATCATTGGCTTTTGGCTTAGAGAACTGAACTGGAAGCATATTTGAAAGCAATACTTAGGTGTAGCAGAGGTGATCAAAACAATGCTCATGGTCTTCCCTTGCGAGTGGGGAAAAAAGTAGTACATTTAGAGGACAGCTTTTTCTGTCAGTACCCCAAACTGACCTTACTCCAGAGAATTTGTGAACCAAGACTGAAGGTAAAATGAGGTCAGGGAATACTGAAATGACTTCATAAGCATACCTTTAAGTGTATTTACAGGCTTGAAATAATTTCCAAAGGTCAGACATGCATTGACATATATTGACATTTTACTAATACCATACAGCCTATGTATATGTGGAATGCTGAATTTAGTATTGGCAGTAGCTTTCCAAACTTTATCAGAAAGAGACTGTTATTTGATGTGGGATTTTCTGGGTACAGCCATCAACTCAGAAGCACAAATTCTTACTGACAGTGGGTGGATATAATGTAAGGTTGTGTAGACACTATTGCCTGTAAAAGATGTGTTGCTGTCTGCTAATTCTTTGACACAGCCATAGTGTTTCAGTTGTTGCTTTTTGTTTGGTGGGGGGAGGGGGTGGTCCGAGAAAAGAAAGAAAAAAAAAAAAGGCTATGGTTACATTTTAACCCGTTGTTCTATCTGGTTGTCAAAATTTTAACCTGAAGCTTCTCACTTGCTACTTGAAATCCCACACTATGGACTTTTCTCGCAGTGCTCTTTGTCAGGTGCCCTGAAGAATTTGCAGTGATCCCCTAACAATATCTAATCTGTAATAGTGTCAGTCTGGCAAGTGGATTTTAGATTAATGTAAACATAAAAGAAGCAGTCCTTTAGCCGCCTTTCCTGGAACTGTTGATTCATTGTTGATTTATTGAAGCAAATAAAGTATTTTTGGACACATTCTAGGGGCATAGTAGACTCATTGCTTGTCTGATCGACAAAAATGTATATCCCTGCTTTTAGGACTTTCCTTAGAAAACCTAGAGATGTACATACTATGCTTTACCAAAGACCTCTCTTTTAAATCATCTACATATTCTCTCTCTACAATACTTGAAGAACAACTTTGTGAGAAAAGGCAGTAGTATTTTAGCAGCAGCCATGAGTTAATTTTTTGGGGGGTCAACTTAACCTGGAGGATACCAGTGACAAAATTAATCTTCACACTTCTAGAGTCAGTGTGATAGCGTAAAGAACTGTGACTTGAACTTGCATTCTTTTGCTGAAAATCATAATTTTCCTAATGCAATATTTAACTAAATCATTCAAGAAAATGCATATCAAAAAGTCTGGGAACTCTGCATTTGGCAAAATTTGAATTTGTACAATTCTGCAGTTGCCTAGCATAAAACTTTCAGCTTTCCATTTTGTTGCATATGTATTTTTAGTATAATTCTTATTTCTTGCCCTTGAACAATTCATGTTGTTAGGAACACCGTTCTAACAAAACTTGTGTTGCATAAAAGCAAAAGGTAATATTCACCTGTTTGGTTGTTGTTTTTTTTTTTTTTTAAAGCTATCATACCAAAATAAGTTTTCTAATTTTAGCATGAAATTTCACAAAAGGAATAGCAGTAATAATAGAAGTGGTGGGTTTAGATAGTAAAACTACATAAAGGTAAGGGTATGTTTTGTTAAAGAGTTAAATTAGTGTCCTTCCTTAATCATAAAAGTTATTGTTAAAATCAAACTAATAGGCAGTATGAGTAAGTTCAGAGGACAGATCTTAAACTGCTAAATATGCATATGATTGCTTTTAAATTTATATTTGTATTCATAAAAGTTCTAGCACTAACATTAGAAGCACTAAATAAACTGAACTAATGCAGCACCCTGACTTTGAATTGAAATTCTGTAACATGCAAAGCACTTAAGGAAACTTGCTATTTTTGGCAGGAAGTTAGACATTTCTACATGTCCTGTACATACCCCTATAAGTGTATATGTAAAGTAGTTAGTGTGTGGCTTTCGCCGTAACTGCTAATGAAAAGAATGGTTGGAAGGGTTGGAAAGAAGTTAGGCCTATTAATTTATGATCAGTGATAAGAGGAGCTAACTGATAACTGGCTTCCTTCACCAGCTAAAAGAACTG